CAAAACTTAGATAGGTTTTTAATGACAAAAGCAACTCTTAACCATCATATCATCTCCTTATAGCATTTTGTTTAGAGCATTTCTGTCTTTGCAAATAAACAATACCCTTTCTAAATACTAAATTTGGGCAATACAAACATAGAGATGGAGAGAGAGAGAATACCAAGTTATTGAAAACAGAAAGCAGAAAACATGATCAAACCAACTGATGGAGTTAGGTGGTCCAAATTTATGGCACATTTCCTCCAAACTATTTTGATGGGCAATGCACTGACAAAACCAAAGCCCTTGAGCTACCCAAAAGGAAAATATATATATATATATATATAAAAATAAACAAATAAACAAATTTGGAGAATAGAATAGGGCAGTACTTAATAGGTGCAGAAGCAAAAGAAAAAAGAAAAGGAAAAAAAAAATAGAGTTTGTAGATTGTGAAGGGAAATAATTTGTCCATCATTACACTTATGATTTAGTTTGGGGCCAGAGGTGATTAGGACCCCTACCCCTAGAGTTGTAGGGTCATAGGGGTCCTACAATTTCACCTTCCCATCAGATCTGGGAAACTGCTGTCCTATATAATCCTATTTCTTTGCTTGCTTCACAGTTTGACATTTCTTTTTTTTTTTTTTTTTAAAGTTACCCTATTCTTTTTCTTTCTTTTCCACAGTAACTATAGCTATAGGGGCCACACCTCACCTTGAGTTGTGTTTATCGAGATCCTTATAGTTCTTCTCTATTATATTTTTACTGTTTTATTTATTTACCCCTACCCTTGTTTCTATTCTTTGTGGGGGCTAAAAGTAGAGGTGTGTAAGTGTAAGTAAGTTGGTTGGCATTGGTTTGACTCCATTTTGGTGGATTCAACAAAAAAAAATGTACAAGTAAATATGAAATTAACCTTTTTAAGAAATTAATCAAAATGATTGAGTTGATAAAAATCGGCCCAGCAAAATCTACTCGAGCCAAATTTAATGACCATTTAGATAAATTTTGGTTGAGTATAAAGAGATATGGCAGATAGCTGGAAAGACAAACTTGTTGTTTTGTTATATATTTTACGAATTGTGACAATGATAAAGATTAAATATAAACTTAATTAACCCCAAAGTTTTTAAAAATTATTTCACTAACTAAAATAGACATAACATCTGAAGCATAGCATGTGGACTAAATCTATAATATAACCTAAATTTTAGGAAATTGTGGCGAATTGCTTTCAAATCTTACATTTTAAACCCCAAGCTTTGAAAAATAAGTATAAATTGTCCCACACAAAAAAAAATATATATATATATATATATATATATATTCTTTTGTTAGGTACAGTGTAATGTATGAATTACTATTTGAGAAATTGACTACTCAAGTTTTTAGATGAGATCAAGGGATTGTTTTTCCAATCAAAATTTCGGATCTGTTTAATAAGTTGTCAGATCATATGTCATTTTATTCAAATTTTAAGAAACAAGTGTCATATATATAAGTCTACCATCAACTTATACTAACAACGAAACCGAAGACTAAACATAAGCACAATCAAAATTAGTTTATATACATTTTTTTAAAATTTTAGAGATTAAATAGACACAATATGTAAAATATAACATGACTTAATATAATTATCCGAATATATATTTTTTTATTTCTTGAGTTTAACAATGGTAGAGATTTAAGATATACTATGGGTGAATATATGTTTTAGTCAATGATGTTTTTGTGTTTTTTCAATTTAATTAATCCCTATTATTTAACAAGTTTCAATTTATATCATTTAGAAGGAAAACATTTGTAAACTTCTATCAAAGTTTTAGAAATTTCAAACAGGGATTACAAACTTTTCCTAATCAGTTTAATTTCTCTTTTGAATTTATAGGTAAGTTTATCATCAATCAATTTAAACCTCCACCAATAAAAAAGGTATATAATTAAAACAAAAATATCCAAAGGCTTTTAGACGGTAAATACTAGACACCAAAAAAAAACATAAAACATAATCAGATTATTAACCTTGCTATAATATAAAATATGACAACTTTTTTAGGGTATATAATATAATAACTATAAATTTTTTGATAAAAATAATAATAATAATAACTATAATTTTGACTCATGCCAATTATTATGATAATTATTGTTGTTAATTATTAGTCAAATGAAAGAAAAGATTCAAGATTAAGAATCCTGAGAAGGAGCAGTGAAAAAAAGGCAAGGCAAGGAATACGGTCAAAAAAGTGGTGGGCCCCAGTGTCAGAGGCGTTGAAAATTAAAAAAAGAAAAGAAAAGAAAAAAGTGGGCGCAAAAATCGAAGAAGGAAAAAGAAAAATGATTTTGCCATCTATTGCTTTATGATTGACACACCCCCCCTCGCTGACCGCACGGGCAGACCGGGCAGGAACGAGAACGTTTCCTTTGTCTTCCCGCCATTCAAGCCGGCCTCCTCCACTGACCACTCTCCTCTTCATTTAAAGAATTATTCTATTTTTACCTACTCCCAATTTAATATCTCATATTTCTAGGACCAACTTGCAACTTTTTTCCAATTTGTTGTTCCTTTGGACAAAACAAATCCCCTTTCCTTCAAACCACAATGGTCCAAAAGTGTGTATATATATATCTCCTATGACATTATACTTGGGTTAGGCTCTAATTGAGTTTTTTTTTTTTTTTTTAATAAACTTAAAAAAGATGGATTATTTTGTAAAAGAGTTTTTAAAATTTGATAGGGTGTGTTTGAAAGACCTACTTCTCCAATGGTGGCTCGACGGATGAACCGAATAAAAACACATGATGTGGTTGGAAAGGAGGAGGGAAAATAGGTAGGGAGAAAGGCAAAAGACATAATAAAACACAAGGAGGGAAGTGAGGAATAAAAAAGGGGATGCCAAAAAAGAGAGGTGCAGTTGAGGATAAAATGAAAGTGGGACAAGAAAAGAAGTTGTTAGGATGGGAGGGCAAGAAATGGGAATTCAAAAACATGCGAGGCAAAGGAGAAAAAAAGGACAAGTCAGAAGTCAGAAGTCAGAAGTCAGAAACCTTCCTCTGTAGAGGTGACAGAGACTCAGAGTTTTAAATTTACCTTTATCCTAAAGCCGGAATTGAATCATTCATTCATAATTACTTACTCTTTAAATTGGTATTCGCAGATGGCCCGATGTGACTTCTGCTTCCACGTGTTGCCTCTTCTGCTCCCACCCACTAGACATAGAAAACACACACACACATACACATAATGCACTCAATTCAAAACCCCAATTATTATTCAAATTTAACAGAACAAAAATTACAACAAACACACTTCTCTGTTTGCCCTGTTCCTCAAATATTTTACATCTTTAGAATGTAAATAATTACTTCCTATGTGCTACCTACTCATTTTAAAAATAGAAAATTAAGCTTATAAACATTACTTTCACATAATTACCGAGAGATGATGGAAAAAGAGTATAATTTTTAAGAACAAAGAAGATACTCACTTAACTACTAATCTTGAAAGTAATGGAAAACTCGCTTTCAATGGAAACGAAAACTATTAAAGTTGAATAGGCTATATATATATATATACACACACACATCAGTTTTTGAGTTCGTTTTCCTGAAGAAACTAAACGCAGAGGAAAAAGGGTGTGACGTTCAATTAAAAAGTAATTTTTAAGGAGAAACAAGGAATAGTATCTTTCATCTTTGTGATCTTGCCTTTGTCTCCTTTACTTTTAGACTTTGTGGAGTAGAGGTCCCCTAATTCTCAAAAAAATTCAGAGAAAACTTAGTTTTTGGGTCGTTATAGGGCCAAGGCCGAAGTTTGCTGGACTCACTTGCACAGATCATAGCCTCGCATATTTTGGGGACACTTCTCAGTAATCCAAAAATTCATCAATCTTCTTAGCCATCGTGTCTTCATGCATTTGTTTGTTGTTGCATCTTTTTATGAAATTTTGGTTGGTTTAAAGTTATGTTCATGTTCAAATTTTAGTCTTAATCTAAAGAAACTTGCCTCCTCCCACAATGAGTAGTTCGTGTACCCTTTACGGTTACGGTAGGAATATGACTTGGAATGCTTCAACTGTCAAGGCTCTATTACTAATATGTTGCGTCTCCTGTTCGACACGAGTGGTGAAAGGTCATAAATGAAACTATATAGTTCCCCGTGGGGATATATATGAAAAAAGCACACCGATATAATTTCATACCTATAATAAACCACTCACCAAGGCCAAATGGATCCAAGAATTTATGTTCAATCTGCACCTACAGAATATAAACATGCAAGAAGAATCCAAGTACTTAAACCTCTTCCCATGCCCGAATTGGTCCGAGAATTTATGTTCATTCTGTCTCTACAAAATAGAAATATGCAACAAGAATTCAACTTTGGAGTAAAAAAAACTGAGATGATACCAACGGGTAAAGAGGGTGATGATAAAGGAAAGCAAATTGAAAAAGCCGTGGCTTTTTCAATTTGACCTTTAAAGTTCAAACAATAACTCCTCTTTATCAAACCCACTGAACGTGGGCAGAGCTTAAAAGGGGCCTAATAATTTAAGGACGTTGACCTAGCAGAACCAAAAATATATATACATATATATAACACGTGAATAGTAATGGTCTTCGTACCACAGGAAAAGAAAAAGAAAAATAAACCACTTGCAAGTTTACCTGCAAAAAGTTTGCACAGTTTCCAATTCACTCGCAAACAACGACAAATAGATAAAAAGGTAACAAGACTGGAGATTTCTCGAGCACAACCAGAAACTACAGACTTGAACAGTAGAAATCCAAACAGTTTGGTATAAGACAGCAAAACAAAGCAAAATCCTGATGATCTACATCAACCTATGTGAATAAGTTCTTAAAGAACAATCTCATTCTCAATTTCCAGTATCTATGTGAAAGTTGATCAAGATTTTCCATTTATATGAACCATTGATGAAACAGAAGGGAGTTCTAGAAATTTGTGAACAAATATGTAAGAGAGTAGGAAATTGTGATGCAAAAGGTAATATAAGAATAAAAGCAATTGACTGAGTATACATAAATTTGCAATTAACTGAGAAGTGTACATAATAAATAACCATTGTCTCACATAGCTTATATCGAGATGTTCACAAATCAGGTCGACAAATTCGAAGGCAAAATAACAGTAAGATACCATGTACATAGTAACCTCCAAGACGGAAAGCACCGAAACACAGACTCTTACCAACAGCCTCAACATTCTTTCTCCTCCTTTGGAACTTTGAAAGTATATGGAGACTTCGGAGGCACCTGAAACAAGAAAATTTATAGTTTCTTATGTTCAGAGAATTTACAATGTCAATTTCCCACTATTTACATTTTAATTGAAGGTTCAAAAAATAAAACATATTTGTATTCAATAACAAACGTTTAAAGATAATAGATCTGATTTTGATTCTGTTTTCAAAAATCATTGCTTACGTGCAAACTTTTTTTTGAATAAAAAATTTCGTTGGATAAATGAAATTACAAAAGAGGCAGAGAAAAACCAGGCCCCAATGCCCAAACTTAAGAACATTCATTTTTTAAAGGGAAACAAAAAAAAGGAAAAAAAAAATTCTGGCAAATGGGAGTAAAAGTACTCAATTTATCAGGAAAATGTCACAAAAATAAGAAAATCCAAAAAACGACAGAAAGGCTTTTCTTTCGTGTTGACAGATTTATGGTTATCTCTAGCCATAAACACAAAGAACATTCTAACAGGCGTCAACCAAAGGATTTTTCTCTCTTTTTTTTTCTTTTCTGAAAGGATGACCTTGCAAGCACCAAGGAGAGAAGATTGTTAGCATTAAGGGGGAAGCCATATGCGTGATTAAGTTGAGCAAGAAGTTTCAAAAACTCCCAGCAAATCTAGAATTGGAGATGAGTTCTAGTCTTTTGAAACAACAAACATTTTCAAGATTAAATTTTCATGAGAAACCTTCTGTCGTAAACCTCAACAAGAATGAAGAGTAGACGATAGTATTGTGAAGATTGGCTTCCATAAAGAATCGAAAGCCCACAGCATGATATGAGAATAGAGCACTGAACAGGACAGAACAGATAACAGAATCTTCATCAAGTTTATACCAAGGCATGAAGTAACACTTTTTTGAAGTGATTCAGGGAATTCATCAAGTTAGATGTGGAATTCTAGTTTTAAGTGTGGTTTAAACAAATACAGACGATCCATTTTGGGCTCAAACTTCAGTCACAAAGTCAGGAATCGTTTTTCTTCCTTCTGAAAGATGTATAGTGGGGCTGAATGCAATTCTCGAAGTTCATGGAAAATAAATTTAGATATATAATAACTGACTACAAATTTATCAAGCTTCAATAAAACAGGAAAATGGTTTCCAGTTGTGGTTCTATAGATAACACGATGACCACAATTAAGGTAATAACCACCCGCCATATGATATTGCATTCATGGAAACGGATTCATTAACCTGAAAACGAGCAGGATAATACTTTCTTTACCGAAGAGGATAGACTGATCCAACGGTTTCCAAGTTTTATAAAGAACTCTTATCTATGCAAGGGAAGGGGGAGGTTGACCTTGATTCAAGCCACTCTTCCCAGCCTCTCCCATCTGTGATTTATCTTTATTTAACATACCTCCTAAACTGCCAATTTGCAATTGCTCTTTGGTGGAAACTTCCAGGGGTTTTTAGGCTTATTTGGCCTCACCTTCGGGGGGGCTTCTACATTTCCTTTTATCATGTTAATCAAACAAATAGCATTTCTCATGGAAAAGAAAATCGTAAATACGATGTTGACCATCATCACACTGTCACACCATACCAGAACTTGACAATATACACACATAAAACATACCTTGCACTGGAGACTTGTTAGTGTGGACCTCAGTAACGGATCCCCAACAATGGACCTCAACCTGCTAATAAATTCGTCCCTACTGATCTTCTTTTCCTAATAAGTTACCCAGAAAAGTAGTATCAAGACCATCCACTAAACAAATAAAGATACAGGAAAGCGCTTATAGACACTTTCACTTACTCTAAATAAGCCGTAATGACCGTTCACCAATTTCATGTCATTAAGAGAGACTTCTTTTGAAATGGCATTAAACAACTTTGAAAAGGGCATCCAGGGGGACTTTGGAGTCTTCAGGGAGCTAGATCCATGGTCAACGAGCTTTCCTGTACATCTCTTTACAGGAGCTGGCGATGACACACAATCCTCCTCCTAGTAAAAGACTTTCCCATCAAAATTAAGTAGAGATGAAACAAAAAAGAACAATCTAGCTAAAATGATTTGAGCGTCCTAAACTTCCTCTCTTTTCACCGGTTCATCTTCTGTGTTCTAAGAGGATTTCTTTTAACTGTTCCAAAAAACCTATTTTTTCCTCTTTGTGGATGCAAGAAAAAATTTGAAATAACATAGAGGAAACTTACATCATACTTACAGAAAGGGCATAAATCTCCTATTAGAGTTAGACAGAGAAATAATTTGAAAGGGAGCACCAAGGAGAAAAATGATGCTTATCAAATCAAAAACTTCTTCCTAGTTCCTATCCTTCCCATTAGAAGAAATATATTCATTTACATCCATACTCCGAAATTATAATCTTTCTTGCATCAACTCCAGGGGATGCCTTACTGATTCAATCGAAGAGCAATTTAACTGCAACTGGTCGTGAAGCCGTTCAGTATCAATACCTCCATTTTTTGCAGCCAGAATCCCTACAAATAACCATTAACCAAAAACCTCTCTAATAAGTCTACGAAGAATGAAAAAGTAACCAAAAAAATTGATTTA